GCAGTGAGAAGTGAAGTTTCTGGGTCACATGGTGTCAGAAAGAGGGATAGTAGTGGATCCCGCCAAAGTTTCAGTAGTGGTTGAGTGGGGACAGCCTACTTCACCTACCGAGATTCAGAGTTTCCTCGGTTTGGCAGGATATTATCGTCGGTTCATCCAGGGGTTCTCCAAGATAGCTGGACCACTCACGCACCTAACAAAAAAGGGTGTACAATTCGTGTGGGATGAGCATTGTCAGCGAGCTTTTAAGGAGCTCAAAAGGAAGTTGACTTCTGCACCGGTTATTACTACTCCATAGAGCGGGATCGAGTATCTTGTTTACACAGATGTTTCATTGTAGGGTCTGGGATGTGTTTTGATGTACGAGGAGCGACCGTTTTCTTATGGATCTTGGAAGCTTAAGCCTCATGAGTTTAATTATCCAACACATGATTTGGAATTAGCAGCTGTGGTCTTTGCCTTACGCATTTGGAGGTATTATTTGTTGGGTGAGTCCTTCAGGTTCTTTAGTGATCACAAGAGTCTGCAGTATTTGTTCACTCAACGGGAGCTGAATATGAGACAGCGCAAATGGTTGGAGTTTGTTAAGGATTATTATTTTTCTATACAGTACCATCCAAGGAAAGCGAATGTGGTGACAGAGGCACTTAGTCGCCGACCTATTGGTAGTCTTTCTACTTTGTTCACCACTGAGTGGAATGCTTTGAAGAATATAGATGAGTTATCAGACGCTTTTCTGGCTTGCATTGTGGTTACACCTTCCATCATTCACAAGGTTTTGCAAGCACAACTCACCGATCAGTAGTGTATCGACAAAGTTGTAGAGATAGCTTCTGGGGAAGTTCCATTTTACTATGTTAGGACTGACAGAGGCTTATGATACAAGGGACGTATAGTGGTACCTTCTGCTGACGATTTGAGGAATGATGTGATGACGAAGACTCATCATTCTAAGTTTTCTGTTCATCCAGGCGGAGACTAGGTAGGCACTTTCGAAACGATTGTTCTTCTTAGGGATTGTATGTGCACTGCTCAGAGTAGGCAGCAGACTTATGCCGATCGGCGTACTCGTGCTTTGGAATTTAGGGTTGGAGATCAGGTTCTACTCAAAGTGTCACCTATGAAAGGTGTTATGCGCTTTGGGTAGAAAGGGAAGCTGGCACCGCAGTTTGTTGGTCCATTCATGATCACGGATTGCGTTGGAGCTGTTGCTTATAAGTTAACACTTCCAGATACTTTGGATCGCATTCACAATGTGTTCCATGTTTCCATGTTGCAGAAATTTCTACGAGATAAGGATCGGTATCAGTATATCGATATTGGGGGGATTAAGTTGCAGCCGGATGCAACTTATTTGGAGTCACCGTGTCGTATTGTCGACCATTGGGGTCAAATCCTTCGTAACAAGGTTATCCCTTTGGTTCGTGTGTAGTGGAGTTATCATAATGAGGCTGAATCCACTTGGGAACGGGAGGATGTCATTCGCTCGCAGTTTCCTGAATTATGGGAAGAAGGTAAGAGCGAATTCCGAGGACGGAATTCCTTTCGTTAGGGGGGAAGAATGTAATACCCCTAATTTTAAAAGGACGGTCCTAGAATTTATTTATTTTATTTAATTGCATTTTTATTAAGTTAATTGTAGTATTTCCTGTTTATTTTGATTTATTTGTTTTATTTGTTAATTTAGTGTAATTGTTTTATTATTACTTAATTGTTTTATTGTTATTTATTTAATTATTGTTACTTATTTGTTAATTAACTCAATTGATGTCACGGTTATTTTAAAAAATAAATAAATGGCCTTAAGTGAGTTAGGTTAGAATACATAAATTCTTTAGGATTTAGGTGGTTGAAGGTTTTGTTTTAGCCGACATAGATTTCATGGGTCGGCTAGGATTGGAATTAGGGCTTAGTCTTTAATTATACATGGATTAGGGTTATCATGATTCATCTATAAATATAAGCAATACGGTGGTTTAGGGTTTTAGAAAACTAAGCCAAATTCTGTAAAAATAGAGAGACCGTGAGATACAGAGAGCAACTGAGAGATTAAATGAGGGATTCAAGGAGGAGTTCGGGACTGAATTAGGAGCAGCAGAGGTAGTTTAACACAACCGACGTTGCCGGAGTTGATAGAGACAATAATTAGAGATTTTAATCCAAAGTCTCAAGGCAAGTCTATATTCTTCTCTTTCCCATTAATTCGTGTTCTGTGCATGTCTAGTTAGACTCCAGGGATTAAAACAAGGATAAAATGGACTTAAATAAACTTTATAACAAGTTTTATCTACATGTATGAATTTTGTTTACTCTCGTGAATTCACTGCTTTGAAAAAATTGTTGATATTCTATTATTTGTCCTTGCTGTGGTTTACGGTTAAGCGTTATTTTAATTGAGATTAGTAGGATGTTTGGATGCCTTGTAATCACCCTAGGACTGAGTTTGAACTCTAAAACAAGTGCTTAGGACATTATTTAATTTCACTAAATTACTCTGAATTAAATCTGTTGTAATTTGCTTAAAAATTTCTAACGGAGGTTTTGTAAACGTGGCTTTAAAACTTGTGTTCCTACACATGTTAGGATTGGATCTCAGTGGTTTAAACTTATCTAGGACTAAGATTGAACCTAGAACAAGGATTTAAAAATACTATAGAGTCTCTGTTAATTACCGGACTTGGAGAAGAAGACACTGAAACGGGCAACGGCTGCAAAGGGAAAGGAGAGCAGGCTCCCAAAGAGGTGGAGCCGGCTCTTGGTGTGTTAGAGTAGGCTCTAGATGGAAAAGAGCAGGCTCCAAAATTTTTAGAGCCTGCTCTCTCTTAAAAGGCACAAAAACTGGTTTTTAAGGTTCGTTTGGTTGAAATTGGATTTTCTGGAACTGTTTAAAGCTACTGAATGTTGTAATTAAATGTTTAGGACTTATAAAAATGTTGAGAAGCAAGCTCACATTCAGATATTGAGGATGGGAATTAATTCAAGTTTAAACAAAGGACCCGTAGGTGGATAATTAAATAATTAACTTAAATTGCCTGTTGTTTCAGCACGTGGTTTCTCTGCATGATCTTAAATTATGAATTATATTTTTAGCTGTGTTAAGAGCATATATTAGTCTAAATATATGTGGCTTAGATGGAATTAACTGATGTTAAACACTGTTGTAACATTATATTAATTATTGTACTGTTTGGAAAAGTTAGTGGTGTAGTTTAACTTTGTCAATTTCAAGAACTGGAACTTAGAAAGTTGTATGGATTTAATTATGTAAAATTATATTTTCCACAATGTTGAGTATGGTGAATTAATTAAAAATCAACTATACTTATGTTGGATTTAATTGGTACTTCAATTATACTAAGTTATACCAGTTTATGGATTTTATGTAGAATTTAAATGCTATGACTTATTATAGCTATTTAAATTGTTCGAGCATGATATTTAGGTTCCGTAGTGAATACCTAATATTGTTATATGTATGAATTTATATTGATGCATATCTTGGAAAATGTGAATGCTTGCATTTCTTATAGCAGTTTACATTTTTAGATTTGAATTTTAGGCTCTGTATTGAATGCCTGATACTTCTGTGTAAGAATTAATTTATACTGTGCATATTCTGCAGTTTGGTTGATTAGTATCTATTACTAGCTTGTCAACTATGTTAACTGGAGGATTGTATGTACCGGTATAGGACGATGACATATTAGGTATGGACTGGTTAAAATACTAGGTTCTACCTAACTTGGATTAAGGTATGGATTAATCATATAGGTTAAGTCCATCACCTACTTGTGTCATATCAATTGAGAATTGAATGTCCTACTATGGTTTCAGGATGAATTTGTTATACATATATCAGACCATTACACAGATGGATGGTATTTTGTATTAAGAGGAGTATGGACTTTATATATATATTATATGGTGTCGTGGTATGAGCATGAGTCTCAGGACCATGGTTAGGGCGCGTTTATCACCTAGGATAGATAAGTGGACATAGGTGTTGTTCCCTGGTAGGTCTAGGTACTCATGCCCACCTTCGGGTACGTATTCGCATGTTGCCTTCTATTCAGGCTGAGATAGACCTACTGGACTAGCGAGCATCCTATAGTGTATACTATATATACATATATGGACTACTCTAGATATTGTTGAGTTTTTCTAGGATTTATCTGTGTATCGGATTACTGTTTGGATCGTAGTAAATCAGGACTTGCATACTCCTTTATTTTTCAGGTGCTCGGCAGTTCTAGAATTAGAGGTTGATCGTGCAGAGCAGATACCGACTTCCATTCCACCGACTACATAGGACCACTCTCTATGTTTAGCTTTATGTTTTATTTCCAGTTCGAGACTTTTTATTAGGGGTCCTCTAGAAGGATTCCCGAGTTGTATGGATTGGTGGTTTGGATTATCGGATTTAAAATATTTATAATTCAAGGTTTATTAATTTAGTTTCTTTCAGCTATTTAATTTTATTTCTTATTTCACTTTGTATTCCATGTTCGATTTAAAATACTTTAATTGTTTGATATCCTTCGGGTTTGGGCCTGGGCCTGATCAACCCGTGTCTCGGATCTAAGGGGTGTCACAACTCCCCCTCAAGTTGGTGCATAGATGTCACACATGCCCAAATTGTCTAAAAATTTTGAAAACACTTGATTTGAGACTGCTTTGGTAAGAATGTTTGCTAGCTGATCATCAGATCGAATCTTAGGCAACTCCACAATTTTCCTATCCAACTTCTCCTTTATGAAGAATCTGTCTATTTAAACATGTTTCGTACGATCATGTTGAACTGGATTATGAGCAATATGACATGCTGCTTTATTGTCACAATATAGTTGAATAGGTTGCCCAGGTAGATAACCCAAATCCCGCAAAGAGAAGTCTTAACCACAATGTTTCATAAAGTACAAGCGTCATACCTCTGAATTCAGCTTCTGCACTCGAGCGAGTAACAACATTTTGTTTCTTGCTTCTCCATGTAACACGATTACCTCCTACAAAAGTAAAGTAACCAGAAGTAGATCGCCAATCAGTTATAGCTCTAGCCCAGTCAGCATCAGTATATGCAGTTGTGTTTTGATAACCAGCATTTTCAGTGAACAAAATTCCTTTTCCAGGAACAGATTTCAAATACCTCAAAATGCGCATAACTGCATTCATATGTTGCTCTCCAGGATCATGCATAAACTAGCTAACAATGTTTAATGCATAAGCCAAATCCAGTCTCGTGTGTGCTAAGTACATCAATCTCTCTACAAGTCTTTGGTATATTCCTTTATTAACAGGTACTTGGTTGGACTCAACACATAACTTCAGTCCTTCTTCTACTGGTATTTTAGCTGGTTGACATATTGTCATGCTAGTCTCTTATAATAGATCTAAGGCATATTTTCTTTGAGATAGAAAGATTCCTTTATTAGATCAAGATACTTTGATCCTAAGAAAATATCTCAAAGGACCTAGATCTTTCATTTCGAATTCTCTGGACAAGTACTTCTTGAGAGCCTTCATTTCTTCATGATCATTCCCTATAACCACCATGTCATCTACATATACAATGAGTGCAGTGATCTTACCCTGTTGTTTCTTTAGAAATAAAGTGTGGTCTGAATTGCTCTGACGATAGCCAAAGGCTATCATAAACTTTATGAATCTTCCAAACCATGCTCTTGGAGATTATTTCAACCCATATAATGATTTCATTAACCTGCAGACCTTCCGACTATACTTTTCCGGTATCATGCATCCTGGTGGGAGATCCATATAGACTTCTTCAGATAATTCACCATGCAGAAAGGCATTCTTCACATCGAATTGTTGCAATGGCCAATCCAAGTTCGCAGCTGAAGACAACAAGACACGAACTGTGTTTATTTTGGCTACAGGTGCAAACGTTTCTGTGTAATCGATTCCATAGGTTTGGGTGTAACCTTTTGCCACCAATCTTGCTTTAAAGCGTTCAACGGTGCTATCTGCTTTATACTTCACAGTGTAAATCCATCGACATCCAATTGGTTTCTTTCTTGGTGGAGGATCAATAAGTTCCCAAGTTTCATTTTTTTGCAAGGATTTCATTTCCTCATTCATAGCTGTTTTCCACCTAGGGTCAGCTAAGGCTTCTTGCACACTATTAGGAATAGATATAGTAGATAATTGATTTACAAATGACAAATTTGATTCTGACAAATAATGGTTCGACACATAATTATTCATGGGATACTTAACTTTACTAGAAAGTTCGGGTTCATATGTAAGTTTAGGAATACCTCTAGTGTGACGCGATGGTAATTGTTTTCTGCGTGGCGCAGGCACTAAATCAGGAATATCCTCAGCAGGCGATTGGTTTGATATATCAGTTGCGAGGGATTCGAACTCGGCCGACGATGAGGTTGGCGCCATACTTTCCATTTCTGAGCGTTCATCACCACTTTGATCCAAACTTATACCACTTAAATCCAATTAGCCCGATTCCTGATTGGTTGGTCCAACTTGTGAGTCATTAACACTAGAATCGCCGTCCTCAAAAGTGTGATAATCATAATCTAGAATCTGAATTTTGTTCTGGTACTCCCCCTGAAGTTCAAACGCAGAAGAAAAATACATCGAGTCTTCATGGAAAACAACATCCATGGTGATAAACATTCGTCGAGTGGGAGGGTGATAACAGCGATACCCCTTTTGATGAGTAGCATATCCGAGAAAAGCACATCGTAATGCTCAAGGAGTTAGTTTGTTGCATTGATGCTTATGGAGGTGTACAAATACTACACAACCAAAGACATGAGGAGGTAGATTTAGGACGGTTGGGGAAACAACTGCTTCAGTGAGAGCCTGCAATGGTATTCGGAAGGCAATAGAGCTGGAAGGTACTCGATTAATTAGATATACAGCAGAGGTAAATGTTTCTCCCCAATATGATAATGGCATATGCGCTTCTATCAATGAAGCACGAACAACCTCCAACAAGTGTCAATTTTTTCGCTCTGCAACCCCGTTCTGCTGGGGTGTATTGGAACAAGTGGTTTGATGAATAGTTCCATGTGCTTCCAAATACTGCTGAAGTTTAAAACTCTGATATTCTCCACCATTGTCACTACGGAGAACCTGAACATGTGCATTGTATTGAGTTTCAACCATTTTATGAAACTTCTGAAACAATAAGTTCACTTCACCTTTGGACTTCATCAAGCACAACCAGGTCATCTTGGTATAGTCATCAATAAAAGTAGCAAACCAACGGGATCCACCTAAAGTAGTGACTTTGGACGGACCCCAAACGTCAGAATGTATAATCATAAAAGGAAGTGGACTTTTATGCAAACATAATGGATACGAAACACGGTGGCTCTTTGCTAGTTCACAAACATCATAGTGGAAACTAGAAACATCAAATTTTGCAAACAAACTAGGAAATAATTTTTTCAGATAACCAAAGGAAGCATGCCCCAGACGTCGATGCTACAGCCAGATTTCAGATTGTTTTCTCTCCCCCTCAGAACCATTCACTGTTAATGCTTGTTGTAGCTTGTCAGAACTGTTGGACATTAAGTCCAAGTAATAAAGTTTCCTTCGCTTAATACCACAACCAATCGTCTACTTTGTGTGGATGTCCTTATACACACAAAAATCATGCTAAGAAATGACAACACAAGATAAAGCTATGGTTATTTGGAAACTGATAAAAGATTAGAATCTAAAGATGGAATAACTAAAACAGAATCTAAATGCAGATTATCAGTAAGTGTCAAAGATTCTTCCCCAATAACTGAGGTCGAAGTCCCATTGTTTGATACCCCTCGGATCCGAGACGCGGGTTGATCAGGCCCAGGCCCAAACCCGAGGGATATCGAAAAATTAAAGTATTTTAAATCGAACACGGAATGCAAAGTGAAATACGAAATAACATAATAAGCTGAAAGAAACTAAAAGAAAATCCTTATATCATAATTAATCAAATCCGATAATCCAAAACTCCATAAGTTTACAACTCGGGAATCCATCCATTGGACCCCTTATTAAAAGTCTTAAACCAAAACTGAAAATAATAGAAATAAAATCCAAAGCTAACATAGAGAAGATTCCTACATAATCGGAGGAATAAATATCTATATCTGCTCTGTACGTCCAAGCTCTAACCCTGGAACTAACGAACACCTAAAAAATAAAGGAGTGGGTTAGGCCCACATGCAAGTCCTGATCTACTACAATCCAAACAGTAATCTGATACACAGATACATCCTAGGAAGACTCAATAATATCTAGAATAGTCCATATATGTATATAGTACACACTATAGGACGCTCGCTAGTCCAGTAGGTCTGTCTCAGCCTGAATAGAAGGCAACATGCAAATACGCACCCTAAGGTGGGCATGAGTCCTAGACCTACCAGGGAACAACTCATATGTCCAGTTATCCATCTTAGGCGATATACGTGCCCTAACCATGGTTATGAGACTCAAGCTCATACCACGGCACCATATAATATATATATAAAGTTCGTACTCCTCCTAATACAAAATACCATCCATCTGTGTAGTGGTCTGATATATGTATAACAAATCCATCCTGAAACCATAGTGTGTCATTCAATTCTCAATTGACATGACACAAGTAGGTGATGGACTTAACCTATATGGTTAATCCATACCTTAATCCAAGTTAGGTAGAACTTAGTGTTTGAACTAGTCCATATCTAGTATGTCATCGTCCCATACCGGTACATACAATCCTCCAGTTAACACAGTTGATAATATAGTAATTAAATAGTCATCGACTATACTTCAGAACATGCAAAAAATAAATTTCATGCATATACATCTAACAAACATTCAATATAGAGCCAAAAATCCAATTCCAGTAATGTAAACTGCTATATTAAATTTAAGCATTTACATCCTCCAACATAGTCCATGAATTGATACATTTAATAACAATTTAAGTACCAATTATATCCAACTTAAGTATAGTTGAGTTTAATTAAATCACCATACTTAAAACACTGTAAAACATGATTTATATATATATCATTAAATCATATATTAAAACTTTGCAAAGTTCCGGAACATAACTAGCAAAACGGTGTGCAACGTATAGATTTATCCTGAGCTTCACACTGTCCAATCCCTATTCCATTTATGAACTATTGTTTCTTTTTGTTATTACAGGTCCACAACAATCCTATAAAACATTTAAAACAAATTAAATGAGGAGCTAACACTCTGTATAGTCCAAACAGTGCACAAAAACCCAAACTGGGCGTTTAAATCCAAAACCCCAACTGAGCAAGCTAAGTTACAACTGAGCAGCCTAAGTTGCTAACTTAGGGGGTTGAATTGCTAACTTAGGGGCCTCAGTTGCTAACTTAGGGGCCTCAGTTGCTAACTTAGGCGCCTCAGTTAGTGCTGAGGTCTTCTTCTTCGTCCGTTCAGCCTCTGTAAACCCTAAAACTTCATTATTAAGGCCCCTAAGCTTCAACCTAAGTCCCATACGTCCATACTAAATTATTTTAAGTGTTTTAGTAGGCAAAGATTCAAGTTAAACCACAAATCATACATAAAGATCTAAAAAAATAATGAAATCATGCACAAGTATATGTAACCATAAAACTCTCAGTTTTAGTCCGTTAAGCATGCATGATTAGTTCGTTTTATCATTAGTTAAACCCCTGGAGTCTAGCTAGGCATGCACAGAACACAGATTAAAGGAAAAGAATAGAACAAAGACTAGCCTTAGATTTCAGTCCAGAAATCTTAAACTTCCGTCTCTGAGTTTTCGTCAAAGTCCTAGGCTACCGTTAAACACCTCCAATGCTCTTGGTTCAACCCAAAAGCACTCCACCCCTTCCTCCTTGAACCTCTCTATAAACCTCTCAAGGTTCACTATCTATTTCTCTCAAATTCTTTCTCTGTTGCTCACTGTGTTTTCTCTTTGTTACGTGAATAGGGTTAACAAAACCCTTGGCAGATGAATACTATGTATTTATAGGCTTTATTTGAAACCCTAAATTAAATCTTAAACTAACTACAAGTTGGCTCAAACCCAGACACGATGTATAACATAAAACCCTAATAATTAAACAGCTAATTTACATTTAAATCACAAAGGCAGATAACTAATTAAAAACATTAGAATATAATTAAGTTAAATGGAAAACAAAATACAATTTAAATAACCAATTAAAATA